TCTCTCTCTCTCTCTCTTTCTCACTTCTTGCTTTAGTGCCCCCCTTTCTCTGGCCTTTCCGATTTGCATTCACCGCACTTTACTTTTTTGAATTTTGATATGAATGTACGCCCATTTGGAGTGTTGTCATTTAAAATTGAATGTTCCCAGCAAGCCTGCAGAGGGCGAAACGTTGAACGTGTCATTAAATATTATTGTATAAAGACTACAGTCTCAACCTTTTTTACTCTCTGCTGTATACAAAGATGATGATGATGATGATGATGATGATGATGATGATGATGATGATGATGATGATGATGATGATGATGATGATGATGATGATGATGATGATGATGCCTTGACTGAAACCGGGAAAAGTATCGTGTTGGCATGGATACCTAGCCATGTGGGCATCCGAGGAAATGAGCAGGTAGATCACCTGGCGAAAAAATCCTTATCCCTTCTGTTGGGGTCAACGACGAATACTCTCCCACAAACCTAAAAATACACTGTAACGTTTAAAAGTACACCTCCAGTCTGTGGGAGAGCCTTTTGGAAAAAGCAAACAAATAACAAACTTCACAACATTAAACCCAAACTGGAACTGCGAAATCCTTCGGGCCTCTCCAGAAGAGACGAAGTCATTTTTACTCGATTACGCATCGGACACACAGCCCTAACACACAAATACCTCCTTCAGGGAGATGACAAGCCGTTCTGTGTCGGATGTGACACAGATTTTACCATTAGACATATTTTAGCCGAATGTCTAGACTTCGGAGAAACCCGAAGGAAATACTTTAAATGCAATAAATTGCAAGATATTTTTTCCGTCTTTGTTCCCAACAGATTTTTTGATTTTATGAAGGCCATTGGCCTTTATGGGAAATTATAATGTGAAATAAAATTGTTTAAAATATTTATGCTATTTAAAGAGATGTTTTAAATGGAAAATATATTTACACCGAATAAAATCTGATAGTTGACCAGCCGTGCAGTGAACTGTTGCGAATGCAACCAACTTGTGTTTCGCGCGCTCATATGACCTTATGTAGTTGCGAGCGCCGTAAAACCCCATACTAAACTAAAAAGATGGATGATGATGATGATGATGATGATGATGATGATG